AAGTGGTAATTAAATTTTGGTAAAAATTTCCAAAAAGTGTACCGGAAATTTCAGACAAAATTTGTTAACAATGTGGAGGGAACTCAATTTTCAGTACTTTTAAACCGATTATTAGCTGAAATTTCCGATACACTTCTTGGAACTTATCACCAGATTATACTGGAATAATAATTCTACTGGGATTAAAAAAAATGACGTTTTTAAAAATTTATAATTTTGTTGAAAATTTCAATAAATTTGTAAATTTTAGTTTAATTATTCTGTTATTCAATGTCTCTTTCCTGAACATTACTTGTCAACTACGTCCATAACATTTCAATTTTTTCCTAATCGTGTAGGGAGGAGAAGAAAATCCACCAGTTGTTATTTGTAGTTGATTCATCTAGTATTATACGTTAAATTATAAAAATCGGAAATTCAGGGCTTGGGAATACGACTTTTTAAGAGCAAAAACGTGAAGAAAAATATCAGATGGAAAGATCGCTGGGGCTCTTATATTTACGAGGCTCGGCAGACCTTTCGACCCTTTTCTTGCATTTTTTTTCCAGCCATTTTTTTAAGAAGAGAAATATTCACTTCACACAGAGAAATACTTAAGAGGAAAAATTAACTCCATTGAATGAAATGCTTTTTTTTTATTTCTGATTTTTCTATTCTATGTTATGAATGAAAATTTTATAAATGGAATTGTCAAGGGAAACTATAATTTCCAGTTTCATTATTCCAGGCAAATTAATGAAGTTAATTAATGAAATAGAAATTTTCCTTGAATTTTTTCTAAGGATCTTGCACTAAGATTTTCTTCGACCAAAGTTGATTAGAATTAGTATCTAGAATTATGAGATTATCTCACATTATTGACGTTAATGACAATAGAATCTGAATGCAATATAGTGAAAATAATGATCGATTGTGTCACTTCGAACAATTAATATTAATATCCAAATACAAAATTTATGATATGAACAAAAAAAAGATGTGACTCGATATTTCAAATTAAGTTTTACTTCTTAATTCGGTAATATTCTAAGCACGGAATTATATTGATGAGATGAACAACAGATTCATTAAATTACCGTGTGAACTGACTAAAAACTGATAACAGTGTGGACTCGTATTTTCACCAGAGTGTCAATAAACATTAAATTTCAGAAATTCACCCACAATTGCATTGTATTTATCATTAAAATCTTATTCAGTGAGAATAGGAATTAGAACATGAGCAAATAATTCAGTAGCGAAGTGGTAAAACGGTTTACGTCGACTCATTTCCCAGTTGAGTTTGTCGAGAATATTTCCGAATCTAAGAGAGATAGCGAAATTTTCGCAATTACATTTGTTGTAGCTCTCAATGGGCTCTACAAAAAAGGTTATAACAAAAATTTTGCTATCTTCCTTAGATTCCGAGATATTCATTGAAAATTGGCCAATAGTCAAAATGGAGTTGTACCGGTTTACCACTTCGCTACTGAATTGATTAAAATACGAAAATATAACAGCTGATAAATTGGGACATATAATTACCACCGGTCACATTGTTTTTTGCAATGAGAATGATCATTAATTAAAAAATTAATTAAAAAAAAGGATAACAAATCAGATAGGAAGAAGGGCGTAATGAAAGGGCATCAGCACTATTTTCATTAACCTTGCAGTGAAATCTGAAATAAAACTATTCTTCTCCCCTAAATTGAATTCAACGTCACTCTCCAGGAAATTACTAGTCAACTCTCCATTAAATTAAGTTTTTCTCTCACAGTGATGGATGCAATAAGAAGAAAAACACCGATAAAACCGCCCAAGAGCCTCCACCCCGGGTTTTCTCATGCGAATGGTCCAGGATTTGCGTAATCCCGGTAACTTTTATAGTACCTTCATTCCTATATCTGTTGTTGAAAAAAGAACCTTTTTCCTCTACTCCGTCTCCTCGATTCTTCTCCGCCATCACTCTAACGTATCCGATATAAAACGTTAGCTCCTTGTGTGTTAGACTCCCTGAGTACAGTGGAAAAGGTCACCCTCGACTTACAGCAGCTGGCCGGGACTTAACTTTACATCGGAATTTAATTCACCGTGAAATTAAACCGACTTGTGCTACAATGACAATAGACTAGCAGGGATTTCCGCGGTACGGATTTGCGGGGATTTTTCTTGACTGAAAACCACAGTGGCGGCAATTCATTGGTCCTCCGGGTTCACGATATTGTTCAATCTTCAGTGTAAGAATTGCCTCGAGTACTGTCAATGTCCCAGTTAATGCCGCTAGACGATAATTATAGGAAATGATTTTTTTTTCAGAAAGAGATCGGACGCGAGGGCTGGTTCGTCACCTTATTTATTTGTAGAAAGCTTCCTTTTTTTTATTCAAAGTTAAAACGTATTGTATTTCATATACTCATAAATGCATGATAAAAATGGATGATACGTAGAAAAAAAAACCTCAATTAATGATGAATAAGTTGCAAATTAATGACTAATTTTCAGCCTTTGATCAATTCTCTCTCACTTTTTAAAGTGACCCGGTCAATACCAGTAATTAATGGAACATAAGGGAAGGATTACGAATCGATTTTCTAGAAAAGTGAGCAATTTCCCTGTAATATTGAAAAAATTCAAGAATTCTATAGAAAACTGAATAATTTCCACAATTTTTCTCAAACGAAAAAAAAAAACATTTTTCTAGAAGTTCCTATAAACACGTGGAATTTTCTCGGTTTTCTAGAATTTAGAACCGATATTCAAGTCAAAAAATGGAAGGAAATCAAATTTATGCCATTCGCAAAAAAAAATGGAAGGAAATTAAATTAAGAAGATGCAATAAGGAAGAATTAATCAATTGCGCGGATGATAAACATGAGAAAATTGCCAATCATGAAGCGAAGACTAATTTGTGAGTTTGAAGAATTTGAAAATACCGCGTGTTTTTTAGCAACTGATTTCACGCAACTCATTGACCAATCAGAATTGAGAATTGGGTCCGACAGGTTCGATATATTTCGATACAAAACGACTTTATGAAACTTTCATTTTTGATAGGTAAGATCGATACTTTCCCAAATGAATAATTAAATAAATTCATATTTGAAAAATAGAAAATTTCCGTTATGTTACAATTATTATCATCCCGGATAGAAAAATAACGCGCAGCAGTGCACGGAGTGGAATTTTTTAGAAAAATTCTAGTGCTAGCATGGGAAAACAGGCGCAAAGTGACGGCCAGGAAAAAATTCCAGTGCCGACACTAGAAATTTTATTTTGGAAAACGTGAATTTGTCCCCGTATTCCTGTGAAAATTTCACAGAAATCCCCAGAAATTTTACCAAAAATACCAAGAAATTTTACCTTAACAGCACTAGAATTTTTCACAGCCGGTGGATTGTAATTTTTTCCAGTACTCGTACTAGAATTTTTCTAGAAAAATTCTAGTACCATTTGGTCGTTATTCCAATTCTACGTTCACTGTTACCTCTGGTTACTTGTTCAGTACTCGTACTAGAATTTTTCTAGAAAAATTTAGAATTTTTCTAGAAAAATTCTAGTACGAGTACTGAACAGGTTAATCAAGGAGGGAAGAAATGTTCCAATAAGTGACACTTTTCGTCAGATCGCGGAAATTGTCCTATTTAATTTTGAATGTCTATAATTCAATAGCAAAGTGGTAAAAGGAGATAAGTCAATTTTGCCTATTGACCAGTTTTTAATCAATATCTCGGAATCTAAGGGAGATAGCAAAATTTTTGTCATAACTTCGTTTGTGGAGCCGCTTGAGTGCCACAACAAATGTAATTACGAAAATTCCGCTATCTCCCTTAGATTTCGAAATATTTCTCAAAAACTCAACTGGGAGATAAGTCGGCTTATCTCCGTTTCCTACTTCACTACTGAATTATACGACAATAATCATTATTTTAACCATAGGAACAGGAAAATCTCCTTTTGCACGAAAATGATTTATTTACTCTCCCGCGGTAAAGTTGAAATCCGTTGAAAAACCGCTGCTCGCGGCAGAAACCAGGACAGTGGCAATTACTGCGACACTGACGATACCCCGGAACCACCAATATCCAATAATTTAAATTTTATAAAAACCGACTGTAATGGTTAGGTGGGTGAGGTGTTGCTCCGGCGGACATCCAAGCTAAGCAGCGTTGAGCTGAGTTAGTACTTGGATGGGTGACCGCTTAGGAACACCTCGCTCACACAAAAATTACGGGCGGTAGGTACGGTGTAGCGGCCCTAGTGTCTCTTTCCATCTAGTCAGTGTGACAGATGGATATATTAGGGCACTGCAAAATCGGCCGGCTGGGGTTTTACATGGTTTCCCGTGCAGTCCTAGCTCGAATGGGGCACAGCAAAGAGTAAGACGGCCATGATACCGCAGATAACAATGAGAGGAAAAGTAAAGGAGGCGAGGCAGGCTAGAGGAGGGGTTTCAAATCGAGAACTACTTCGATAAAACCAATGAAATAGAAAAATAAAAAAATAAAAATTTATAAAACATGTAAACACTCGTAATTACGCGGTTATTGCCATCAGCTCAATCAACTTTTGTTAATCACATGATAATAATTATCTCCGAGCTAACGTTATCACGACAGGATGCTTTTGATTTGCATGTCAACACTTTTCGCATTGATACGATAAGGTTTAATTAAGTTACGGGGCAACTAATTAATATACTGCAGCACACCGATCGATACGATCGAACTGACCACTTTGTTTTAACACATCGTTGATCAGTATACGTCGAGGAGGATGAAAAAATGAAGGGAAGAAAGTAAAAAGAATCGAGAAGAGTGAAGAAACGAGACCTCTAACGCGAAAAGTCGGCAAATAAATGATTGAAGGAAAGCTCGATGATTTATCACTAATGACTATTGACACAGCATGACGAGATTGTCAACACTGAATTAATGATTCCGTAATTACCATTCAATCAATTAGAACTGAAAAATGTCATTATAATGGTAAGCAGACAAATTAATAACGACAACCTCATGAACATTTATGATTTATCATTTAATTTATTTTAAGTTAAAACTTTTTTTACAATAATATCTTACATTCACATTTTTACACGATCGCCGTCGGGGCGTCAACGCGGTCTCCTCTACACGTTAAATTAACCATTCTGTTGTTACATTTTACTTCCCCCCCAACTGGCGAGAACGTTTTCTATTTAATTTTAATATTCATGTTGTTTTTTTTATTTTCTTTTAAATCATATTTTACAGTCTACAATCTACCTCCCTAGTAATACTCTACAATAGATATTTTTTCGTTCTTCTATGTATACAAACTCCCGATGAGTCATCGACATTTCCGTTTTTACGGCGATGAAAAGAAATTTTTTTATACATGGAGTATTTTCTATTGGAAAATCGTCAAGTCTGAAAATCGCCTCAGATTCTCAGTGAAATATACTGATCTTTCGTCTCCTTAAAGGAATGTGAATATACTTCACTGAGAATACAGTCAACCGTTTTATTGCTGAGCGCATTCACCATAATACCATCGAATAAAACTAGAATTAATAACGTTTATAATTGAAAAAAAATCACAATGTGGTCTCATATTCTTTTGCCCCTCTCATCTCTATCCGATAGCAGCTCCAAAGCTGAATTCACGTATATACATACATATAGAATAAACAATAAATTTTATATGCATGTATATAATAATATATATGACATTCCATTTATTTAATTTAATACTTTGACTATCTATCAATGTACGTTTATATTTATTTCAACTAAAATTATACACAATTACTTATACTCAACGACTATTTACCAATAAGATACCCTTACTTCTCTTATCCATTAGAATATATATATTTATCTTCATAGAATATTTGTTTTATTTTTCCTTTAATATCTATTCCAGAAAAAAGTGGTACGATACACAATCTTTGAAAGATACAAAATTTACATAATGCAACGTAATTCACAAGTGTTGAGTATGTAATTACACTTTGACATCTCATGTGGCTTTATCTGTTCATACGCTGTGACAAAATCTAGATTCTTTATTTGAGAAATATTTTAATGATCACTTGGGTCTATGAGCTGATTCACCTGTGATGGGTACGATAGTTGATAATTACGTTTACAAATAATTGTTCTTCTACATTTGCTAATTATTGAACAAGTGAGGACTTCACATGTTCAATTCTACACGAGTGTTTCTTTATCATCTCTCTCCCATTTGTTCGTTATTCCAATTCTACGTTCACTGTTACCTCTGGTTACTGTTAGAAATGACAATTATTGTTGCTCTGTGAGGGGAAACGAAAGAAATAAGAAGGAGAAGTGAAAACCAGCAGAGACCTTGTGAGCCGTCGTGCATACACTAATACACCGATGAAACCATCACTCGTTGCCTCAAATTGCACGATTTAATCGATAAGGGGAGAAATTTCTCTATTTACCCGTAATACATCTAAGATGACTCGCGACAGTAAAAAATAACAAAGGATAAATTTTTCTCTCGGTGAATTTTCATTTTTCTTTCAGTTGGACAGTGAAGGGAGACCCTTTAGGGGGCTTCAAACATCTAGGAAATGCAGTCAATCTTGCCGTTTCATATTGAATCGATAACACATTTTTAGGTAATATACCACAATGAATTTAATTTTCTTCGATATTTACAGTAACATAACGATTCGTTAAAGATAGTAGCTGACTTCGTTTTGTACTTGGGGCCGGGGGCGTGTATCACCCTACGGTATAATAATATACTTTACATATTTACAGGAGAATTATTCATGATACCTACATTTTTTGCATTTTTCGGTATGGACTGGATCAAATCTCAACCCTTAAGTGGTCGCAGCCCTGTGCATTTTATCATTTCATGAAAAATAAAAACTGATAAAGATTATTTATTCCTCATTTACGGATTATTTGCAATCTTCCATAAACAGGAAAGTACGATATAAAAGAGAAGCGTCAGGTAAACCAACAGCTCAAGTTCGTTAGGTTCAAAATTTTTGAATTTTGAAGTTAAGCCCTGAGTTTTCAGCAATTCGAATTTTCAAAAAATTTTGATAATTTATAATGATAAGTATGGACCAACGAATTGATAATATTTTGACAAATTTTTATAAATGTCACACTTACGAAATCTTCATGCAGGAAGAAAAAAAATTGAGGAACGGCGGGGATTCCCCCATTGCGCGCCCACTTAAGAGTTGACTGAACCCATAATCGAAAAATTCCGTCGGTATAATTTGCAATAACGCATCGAGTTATTAGCTCCCTCGAAATTCTCTGCACCTTCATGAATAAAACTGAATGGGATACATGTATTTACAATGTTAACATTGCGAGACGCAACCGTCGAAGAAGATTAAGCTTGCTATGTCAGAAAATGGTGGGCTGCGTCCTGAGCGATTGTTGATGGTTGTATTTCTGGATAACTCGCACTCATTCATGTGTATTCGGATCGCCAACCGGGCTGTAATACACAGAGAAAACAACAAACCCGATTACATTAAACCACGTATAATTCCAGGCAACGTGTTTTTTGCACTATGCTTCTTGATTCCAGTCCAGAAATGGCGAATCGATTCATTCAAAATGGACGAATTGCATTAGGTATTCGATATACTTCTTATCGTTGATGTGGGTAAAGAAATTGATGTTTAAAACTCACCATGGCATTCGTCGTGGCGGCGAGCTGAAGACCCTGGAGACTCGTCATGTGATGGGAGTGTGAATGAGGATGTGAGTGAGGATGAATTGGAGGTGGTGCTGGTGGCGCAAAACCTTGATGAAGACCACTGGCAACACCCACTCCCGTGTGGTACATGTAGTGCTGCATTGCCGGATGCATTGTGTGATGATGTTGAGAGGTACCTGATGAGAAGAAGCAAAACAGGATTGATTAATCATGGATTGCACACTTATGAGTAAGTTTAGGATGAGTTTAATGGTAATACACACCCATTGGCGAGCCGAAGCCAGAGTGGAACGGTTTGTTATCAAGATCTAGATGTCCACCAGCCTTGATCATGTCTCCCATGACACCACCCAGCCCCAAACAGCCGCTGCCCTTTTTCTTTTTACTCTTTGACGACAACTTCCGATTTCTCGTTTGTATCCCTTCCTTCTTCATTGTCAGCGGTCGGTTAACCTGGAATATTTAGAGACAACAAATTTTTTTTAGGTTCAATGTGGAGAGCTAAAAGTCTGAGACACGGGGCATGTGAGGCATTTCAACTTGTCAACATCACATGAGAACTTTAACAATTTGAGGTATGCATTAGAAATATATTTCTTGTAAGCTGAGTATTCGTGAGTAAATTCTTATTGTGGCATTCGTCTGATTGTAATGAGCCTGTGTATTTTATCTCTGACTTGTGATAATTTTTTATCGGAATAATTTAAATACGTGATGTCATTATAATCCAACCAATGCCGGGTATTGTTTGCGGGAAAGACGGACAGAATTACGAGGTCTTGCTGTGCATCAACGCCATAAATCGATTCGCTTGAGCATGTAATGATATGATAATTGGATTTTTGAACAATACTTTATTCTTCTAGAACTCGACAGTTACTGAAGTTTAACGGATTTAAACGATCTTTATGTCTCCCGTTTTACGTAATTAATATAAATCATTCAGATTGTCGACGCAACATCGAGTCAACTTGAAGACCACTGACAATTAGCAAATCGACAACCCTCATGCGCAATTTGTCGTTGGACTACGTCATCTTGCGTTCCATTGCGTCTCGTCCTTTTTTCTTTCAGTCGGCGCCGCGTGTGGCGCTTCCCTTTCTTGTATCAAAGGAAGTGAGACAATTTGTTGTAATTAAAGTCGTCTCACTGGTACTCGTGAAAATTTTTTGACATGAAGTACGATCGATGGAGGGGAAGTGGCAGAAGTGCACTGGACCGAGAATGCCAGCTTTTGCATTGACAATTACTGAAACATCAACTGGATTCAACTCATGAATCATTGTTATCTAGGAGAGTATCCTACACTGTTAAAAATTTTCCACTGAAATTTCCGATAACAGTCTTGGAAATATTGAAGCGTTGCCACTTAAATTTCAAGGAATTTTGACATTAAAAATGCATAATTTCATCGAAAAATGCGTAGAAACTGCAAATTTCATGAAAAATTAGGAAAATTCAGAGCAGGGATAGCCATATTCATGAATTGTAATTTCCGTTAAATTTTGAAGCAGTCAATTCGTTAATATCACTCTTAAGTTTTTAATTATTGAAGTAGTCATCAAGTTGAATATTCAAACTCCAAATTATTTTATTAATCAATAATTTAGTTAGAAAGATTGACGATTATCTGATTAATCGGAAATCCCTTTTAAGACATTTAGTATTATTTACTTAATAGAAAATTCACAGTTCCATATTATCAAATATTTCATTCATCATCAATTCAAATTTAGATTATCAATTATTTTACCATTTTTTAATTTGGATGAGTATATTTAAACCTTAATCAATGTAAGAAATTCTTTCAATATTGAAGAATCGTATGACTGATGGCCATCCCCGATTCGGAATCTCTCCTTGAATTCTCGATTCCTGCAAATTTTCAGGGAGGTCCTTCAAAAATTCCTGGGATTCTTAGAATTTTAAAGGAATTCCCTGAAAATTCAGGGGAATTCGGCAGTAAATATTCATTTCCCACTGAAATTTTCGGTAAGGGTCGTAGAAATTTCTCACAAGTAACATGTCCACTAAAATTTCAAGGAATTTTGTAATTGAATATTCATATTTTCATAAAAAAATCGGCGGGAACTGTAAATTTTAATTAATTTCCTGGAAAATCAATGAAACGGCAGGAAAATTTAGAGAAATCTCTCGTTAAATTCCAAATTCCTCGGCATTTTCCTGGAATTCCTTCAAAAATTCTCAGAATTTCCAGAAATTAAAGGAATCCCTAAAAATTCAAGAGCAATTAGCATTGAATATTCATTTAAATTGGGCAATTTTCGTCCTCTTGCTGCTAAAAAATTGAGACGTTACTTAAATTTTTAGAGAAACTTGGAATTCCATTGCCTTTTTTCCCTTAAATCGAATTCAAGGTCTTGTTCCGGAAAATTCAGCCAAATTTTTTCAACAGTGTAATGTCTTTGGATTTTATCTAGCTCTTATAAAAAAATCGCATTTTTGAGGATCACGAGGGTCACACATGAAGAAAAACAAGGGTCAAATCGGGCGTTGGGCGGAACTGCATCATCTCCATCCCCGGAATTCCCGGCGACTGATGTACGAATCCAAGAATGCGCGTTCTGTGCATTACTCAGCTACAAAATAAAGTAAGATACGTATAGGTATGTTACGTACACCGAGGACCCAGAGGGAACAAAAAAATGGAGAAATAAAAAAAAAGATAGAACGAGGCGGAGGGAGTCCCTTGGCGGGACTTTGTAGTTGCCGCGACGTGACGCAACTGCCAACATGGGGAAAAGGTTCCTGGTATTATAGAGAGTGAAGGAACGACGAGGATGAGAGATACATATATGCATTTTTATATCTTTTTCCTTCCTTTAACTTTTACCACTTTTTTTATCTCTCACTTGTATTGCACGCAGGTCTCCTCTCATCATCCACCCTCTGGCCACTGCTCGAGACGGTCAACGACTCTTTTTGAAATTATGCAATTGTCCAAATTTGTCGAATTAGGTGGTCAAGTAATACGAGGAAACGAAGAGAGAAAGAAAACGGAGGATTTTTTTTTAATTCGGGAAGACGATCCGTTTTACCCCAGCCGTTATCAAGAGACACATGAAATGCGTTCTTTTTTTAAGAATTCGTATTGTTTTTCAATTTGTTGTGAAATTTCTTGAATTGGAATTCATGATTATTTCGGCTGCATTGAACTATTTCTTAATTTAGTTATTCTTTGTTTTGTTATTTTCATTTCAAATAATTTTTTTTGCTTATTAAAGCATTCTTGACGGTATCGAAGCCATCATATTCCCATTTAGGTGATTCTTTTATTTGAGATTCTAAACTGTTAGAAATTTTTGGAAATTTCGTGGGAAATATGGTAGTAATTTTGACGAGAGTGACATTGAATCCAATTTAGGGGAAAAATGGTAATAAAATGAAACATGAACGTTCTGAAACAAAATGACATGAATTTTCAATTTTTTTCTGATTTTTATGAATTTTTACGGAATAATTGAACTGAAAAATCAAGTATTTGATTGATTTTCAGATGATTCGAACAGGAAATCGAAGAATTATTTGATTTCAGTTCAATTATTCCGCGAAAATTCAGAAAAATCAGGAAAATTCAGGGAAAAATTGAAAATTCATGTCATTTTGTTTCTGAATCCTCATGTTCCACTGAAAATTCAATCACCTTGTGAAATTTCCATCTCACTCCCACTGAAAACTGATGAATTTCGGTGAATTGTCCTTAAAACTTGGAATTTCATAGCCATTTCTTTTCTAAATTCGATTCAATGTCATTCTCACGAGATTAACTATAATATCTTCCATGAAATTGCAAAAAAATTCCAACAGTATACAAGATTTCCTGAAATTTCAGTGAAAATTAAACATGACAATAATTCCGGGATTTGTCACGGAAAATTTAGACGAAAATATTTAACAGTGCACCACGAAACTCGAATTTTCCTTGACCGTCCAGCAATTGGCCTGTTCACCCCAATACTTTTCCCACATAAGTGCAACGCTCTTTAGAATGGCAAACAGCATCAGTCACCGAAGCATCTGTATCCCATGGTAGACATTGTCGGTCCGTCGGTGGTAGGACGAATTCAAAATCAATTTGAATACAATGAGACGCTTTAATGGGAAAGAAGCGTTTGAATCCGCGGGTGTTCGCGGGTGTTCGAAAAGCTTCGAGGTGCAAACGAAAGGTACGAGAGGAGGATGGTAAACGAGACGGTAGATACATCGAATTTCAGGGGGGGTTGGGGTGAGGGGGAAACGACGAATCAAACCCAGTAGCATTTGAGGAACCCGACGATTGATGTGGACGCACACGATGCCATCGCACGCCTTTTGCATATGTTATTTCAAGCCCGTTTGCAATTATACGGGGCCTGTCAAGGGGTCTAGGCTGTCATCAGGAAGGTTTAGTAATTGGTCCCTCCGATTTTTGGATAATGAAGGGAATCTGGGGTTCAATAAATGTCGCATGACAGACGTGGAGAATACGTTTACCGTGGGAGGGAAAATCTAGTAGGTATCGGTGTATAAAAGAATTCCGATGGGACTTGCTGAGGAATACAAATTCGTTGGCCGTTGATTTAGCATTCTCTGCTCTACGCAACACCTTTTACAACTTCCTGGAGTCGTGGACAATTTTATATTCCGAGGAATGTAATCGAAAGTTGGGAATTCTTTCCGACGGCGCGGGTTGGTGGTGGAGCGAGTGGTTTATCAGCTGTTGATGAATATTTTGGTTCGCAAGTTGAAAACAACAGGAATGGTCATCAAATGTCGGGCGCATGTTGAGGCGCATCGCCTCCAATCAATAATGTTTATCAACACTTGAAAGGGAAACGGTCACAATGATCATGTCTAGAAGATTTTCCTTCGCGTTCCTTCGAAGAGAATTTAACAAATGTTGAAGAGCCTGAGAAATTGTTATAGCCTCATAAAAGAATGATTTGATTGACGAAAGTTAAAGACAACATGAATGATCGTCAAATGTTGAAGGCATGTTAGGGCGCATGAGCGCCAATCAAAAATGTTTATCAACATTTGAAAGTGGAACTTGATTGACGAAAGTTGAAGACAAAACGAATGATCATCATATGTTGGGTAGATATTGGGGTGCATGAACCTCTAATAAAAAATGTTCATCAACAATTAAAAGCAAAACAGCGGCAATAATTGTTTCCCAAGTATTTTCCTCATATTCCTTCGAGAAGAATCAAACAAATGTTGATGATCCTGAGGAGTTGTTATAGCCGTGTAAATGAATGATTTGTTTGACGGAAGTTGAAGACAACAAGAATAATCATTAAATGTTGAAGGCATGTCGGGGCGCATGACCTTCAATCAAACATGTTTATCAACACTTGAAAGCGAAACGGTCGCAATAATCACCTCCTGAATATTTTCCTTTACGTTTCTTTGAGAAGAATCAAACAAATGTTGATGAAGAGCCTGAGGAG